AGGGGGGGGGGGGGAGGAGAGGGAGAAGGAGGAGGAGGAATCTCAATCTAAGGTAAAAAATTCATGAGTTTCAGCTTTCTCTAACAAAGTAACTCATCTACAGTAACCGTTGCTTTGCTTCTGCATTCATCATGGGCTGGTCCACATGTCTATTTCATCATTTGAGTTCTCTTTATAGAAGGAGGGCTGCTGAAAATGAGAATGTTTCCCTTGAAAAGGTGTATCTCTTGCCTCAACAGGGAACTGCTCTCATCCATTTCTGGATGGAGGCTGCAGTCCCTGATTAAAAAACATGCATGTAGGAACCAGAATATAGAAGTAAGACTCTGAAAGAAACCATGTTGAGCTTCTACCTCCACCCCTTTAACCAATGTGACCCTTTGTGTCAATATCACTTCCAGTTCTGAAACCAAAGTATTTGTGGAACCTTTTCCACCAAGAGGCATTCTTGTGTATTATTTACATGGATTATCAAAGGTCACTATGGTATAATGAGAAGCTCAGCCTTCCTCCACCTGTGAATTTAATAGTGCCAACACATCTGGAAGGCCCCAGTTCAGGGAAGGGTCAGTTATTATGCTGGACAATGCAGTGAAATCAGAATTCAAGGACCAGTTGAGCTAGCAAGCTCAATCAGTATTTTTCAGGGCTGATCAGCTGCATTCACACAACACCCTTAACCTGGTTATGGAATAAACCCATTTTCTAGTCCACAATAAAACAACCCAACAATAACAATGGGCAAATGTTACAAAACCAATCATTTGGTCTTTGATTGACTTGGTTGTGTGAATTCAGCCTTACTTTCTTAGCCAAGCCTCACTTGCCGCATTCTTACAGAGATAAATCCCATGTATGACAAATGAAGCTCTATGAAAAAACGGTGTGTTACCCAGCAAGAGATACAATAGAAATTCTAGATATTTAGTTTAACATGCTTTTAATCCACATAAATGGTATATTTCAAATAACTGATGTAATATAAAGGTGCCACTCTAAATACCATCTCCTACAAGAAAGTACTTGAAAGAAAGCTTGTACTTTCTAAAAGTGCCTAAAAGAGAGGGGGGTATATCTTACAATTTGACTGTCTGTCTGTCCGTCCATCCATCCATCCATCCACCCATCCACCCATCCATCCATCCATCCATCCATCCATCCTACCCTGGTGAGATGCAGATCACCAGTCAAGATACAAATCTCTCAGTCTGGAGTAATGACCAGATGGTGATATTCACCACTGAATTCTGTTTGAATTTGTCCTACTCCCGTTGCTTTATTTTCTTTTGATTGCTGATCATTTTTATCAAATCCCATTTGATGAAATATTCTCTTTTAAAAAAAAAACTGCACACTGCTCTGGAGAGCAGAGCAGTATTGAAGTAAAATAAAATGCTGTAATACGGTAGGGTAACTATTTCAATTCACAGGGCACATGGGAAACTTCAGCCTCCCATCTATAGTACTAAGCAGAAAACCCCACGAAATTGCCCGTAGATCGTCTGCCGCAGGCACTTACTTCCTGCGTTTCCAGGGTCCCATGATGAGGAGTGGGAGCGCCCCTACGGAAGAAAGCCTGACACACACACACACACTCCCCGGGAGTAGCCCCGCGCCGCCGACTTACCTGGCCCACTTCCTCGGCCAACTTTCCTCCTTCTGCCCGCGCGGTACCGGCGGAGCAGCAGGAATGACGCTCGGCGGGCAGGCGAGACGAGAGGCAGGGCCGGCACGCCCACCCGTCTGCGCACCCCCGGGGGGAGCCCCGTGCCCAGCTTTCAAAGGAGGCTCCTAACACCCG